GCTTTTTTTTATTGCAAACAGCTCAGAAGATCTGAAGAAGATGAAGAAAAAGAGGAAGACATTGAAGTACCAAAGGCCATGGGGGATATATTTGAGTCCCTTGCTGGTGCCATTTATATGGATAGTGGAATGTCTTTGGAAATGGTTTGGCAAGTGTACTATCCAATGATGAGGCCATTAATAGGTATTGTCAGCTTTCAAAAAAAAAAAAAATTAAGTGCCATCTGCTATGAAGAGAGCAAAGCTAATTTTTTTTCTAAATTTTTTTTCCAAATAGAAAAATTTTCTGCTAATGTACCCCGTTCCCCAGTGCGAGAATTGCTGGAGATGGAGCCAGAGACAGCCAAATTTAGGTAAGAATACATTTCCTTTGGTACATGCTGCCATAAAATGTTTCTCAGCTGTGCTTCATAACCTTCTGAGGATTTTTAAGTGTCACAATTTACTTTTTAATTCCTTTTGCACTAAGCCCCTAGCTTGATTATTGTGTTCACTGATTTTATTTTTTCCCTTGCGTAACTTTCTGAGAAAAGTAATTATTTCTGTGTAACTACACTGCTTTAACTTCTGTAGAAAAGAGAATGTAGGTTTCTTATTTCACGTTAACTTGCCTAGGCAGTAAGTAATTCTCGTGTATATTTTTGCAGTCCTGCAGAAAGAACTTACGATGGAAAGGTCAGAGTTACAGTGGAAGTTGTAGGAAAGGGAAAGTTTAAAGGTGTTGGCAGAAGCTACAGGATTGCCAAATCTGCAGCTGCGAGAAGAGCACTACGAAGCCTCAAAGCAAATCAACCTCAGGTCCCAAACAGCTGAGACTCCTCTTAAAAATAAATAAAATGGGGGAAAAAAACACATACAAATAAAGCAAATTTTTAAAAATGTTGATGTTGGGAGGAACAAATTGGAAGACAGAATTTAAAGTTTGTTTGATAACAGAATAGATAACAAAACATTTAACATGTATAAAATTTTGAAACTAATTGTAGTTCTAGTTTTTTGCGCAAACACAATCTTGTCTTCTTTCCTCACTTCTGCTTTGTTTAATCACGAGAGTGCTTTAATGATGACATTTAGCAAGTGTTCAGAATAATTGTTGTCAGGTCTTTTTGGTTTACTTTTATTGTCAGTACAGCTTTGCTTAGTGTTAGAAGGCCAGGGAGCTTATGCCTAATGCAGTTGCTAGATTTATATATAGTAATCTTGAAATTCTTCAATCTGTGCACTAGTGCCAGTCATAAAGCAGTTGAGAAACTGTACTGGATGATTTGGTATGAGAAAGAATAAGTGTGCCAGTATTCTCTTTTTTTTTTTTTCCTTTTTTTTTCTTTTTTTTTTCCTCGATGTCATCTTTTTACATTAAGATGGCATTCCCAATCATTATTGCACTTACTTGTTAAGGACAGATTTTAATTGAAATGGCTGGCATACTGGTAGAATGCAAGTCCAGTTTCCTTGTGCCACACATTCTTGCATAAAAAAAGGTTCTTGCCTTAAAAACAAATAAACCCTCATTAATAATTTAATTTCTGATCTTTTTTGGAACAAACTGTTTTACATTCCCTTCATTTTGTTATGCATTTTACAGTGATACAGCTCTATATTTACAGTACAACTCATTACTATAGCTGTGACTTATTACAGGATTATAATAGAAATTGTATTCATATATATGTAATTAGGTTATTTTTAACAATTCTGAGAAGGTGGTTAGTCTACAGTTTTTTTTTATACCATAAACAAAATATGGTCTTTGGCTAAAATTCCAATTTTACACAAACCTGCAAGCTAGGTAGTTCTAATACTGGAAATAATTGCACAGTGCAAACTGTCACTAACAAAATAACCTTAGACATATCACACCTAAAATATGCTGCAGATTTTATAGTCAATTGGTTATGTATTTAACAAACAGAGCACCTTTACACTTAGAGATATTTCCACATAAATTTCTTACTGTACTTTTCAGAGTTGCATGCATATTTCACCTACCAAAGCTGTGCTGTTAAATAACATGGAAATTGATGTTTGAGATAATAACTGCCGTACTTTTGATACATCTGTGATTTAGGTCCTTAATGTAGAGAAACTAGCTCATTGGTGTTTGGTCTACTGGGGGTGGGGGGGAAATCATAGTTTTATTTTTTAGGCTTTGCCTATACTTCTTTAAGTAGGTTTTTGTAGGCACTCTTCACTTAAATACCTCAGTTCTTTTTTTCTTTTCTTTTCCTTCTTTTTTTGCATGCATTGTTTTTTCGTTTTGGTGCTATGTTTATATATTATGCTTGAAATTTTAATTTTTTGCACTGTAACTATAATACCTCTTAATTTACCTTTTTAAAAAGCTGTGGGTCACGTATTCCCACCAATATCAGTAGAGGTTTGCTGCAATTTTGCCCTGTTAATTATGCTTGAAGTTTGAGAAAGCAGAGCAAGGTGTTTTAACGTTTTCCAGCACAATAGTTCGAATTTGATGCTGTGTCTTATGTATTAAATTACAAATAAATACTGTATTTCCTGCTTTTAAACCCTATTCCTTTCCTCACAAATGCGTACTAAAACAAAACAAAAACTGTCAGCTCTGGCTTTCTTAAAAAAAAAAAGCCTTAGTGACAAGCGATAGACATTAAGCTTTTCTGAAATACAATTTTCAAGAGTTCATAAATTTTTTTATCTCAGTCATATTTCATTCTGCAAAAAGGACCATTTCTGTATTTCAAAGCAGCATTGTTACAGTAGTCAGACCAAGAACTTAAATACTAGCTTATTAAAAATTCTGGTATTTGTTCTGGTTCTTCAGTCATGAAAATTTTAACGGCGAAGTACAAGACCTGCACTTCTTGATGTGTATAAAATAAATGTAAATTAGTTGGAACAGTCAAAACACGCAGTCTAACATTTCAAAGATAAATTGCTTTGAGTTAGCTGTTTCAAAAAAAAAAAAGGTCACTGATTTAAGTTGTAGCTCTTTCTTCGTGGTAGGAGTGAAGTTTTTTCGAGTAAATATAGGATCACGAATGTTAACAATTCTGTGTTTCCAGCCAGACATCTATCAGCAGGTAAAATCAGACCATCTAGAAAGTCTTAAGTAGTAGTTTTAACTACATTAGGAAAAACTCAAATTTAAGTTAGTCTTTGAACAGCTAAAATTTCTTACTGATTGTTACAAGGGTATAAGTTCTCAGGGGTTTCAGGTAATTGTTAGCAGTAAAGTACTGCAGAGTGTTTTGTTGCAAAGAAAATTAACTGAACTTGCTGTGTTTCAGAATAGTTTAATGATCACTTTGTTACTAGATAAAGCCTATGAATTGGAGATCTGAAATGTGTAGTGGCTGACTCTAAAGTAGTTCCTGCTGCTAATGCGTTTTTAAATGTGTTTTAATTGCCGTATTTTTTCCAGTGTGACCTCATTGAATTTATTCTTTTTTTATCCTTTGAGATAGAAAATTCATATTAGTTTCTGTGTTACACATCTGTGTGTTTTACCCTACAGCTGGTAAGATTTTGATATTTGACAGTGTATGCTATTAAAGACCTAAATCTGATCATTTGAAGGTTGGGATAGAAATCACTTGACATGCTATAAGCACAAGTGTAAGTGGACTGTTGCAACCCATCTTCAAAAGCAACCACACAGGCTTATCATAAACAGTGTGGGGGTTAGTCGGCATGAACCTTGTTTTTTTTTTTAATCTAAGTCCTGTTATACTGTACTTTAAACAGTCCTCCTAACTATGCTGCGTTTTTATTTTTATGGCTTTTTTTTGCGCTGTTCTGTTCATGTAGCACAAATAAGCATTGCACTTGGTACCATGCTTTACCTCATTTCAAGGAAAAAATGCTTAACAGAGAGGAAAAATGTGGTTTGGCCTTGCTGCTGTTCTGATTTACTTAATTTGAAAAAGATAATTATAATGCCTGCAATGTGTCATTTACTTGCACAACTTAAATAGGTCATTTGTAACGTCTGTGGCATTTTTACTGTATGTGGGAAAATACAACAAAGATGTGTAACAACTCTTGATTGTATTTTAAAGCTATTGTTTTTCTACATCATTTTACTGTTATGTGAAGTAATTAAAATTAAAATGACCTCTGACACTCCAGTAATTCTCTCTGAACAAACCAACATGTGGGTATAATGTAGTTTTTGTGAGAAGACTGTCCCTAGTAATTTGGTCCACCTCAACTAAATCTCTGCTAAGTCTGAGTACTGAGTACCCAGTAGTGACTTCTGAAGTGTTTGTTCAGGTTGATGCTGCTAAAGTCCATGCAGAAAAAAAGCCTCTTATTTCTAAGTCTCATTACACAATAGTATGTTGTGACTGCAGAGTACAGAACCTGGACAAGAACCAGTTTCCATGCTGGGGAGGAATATAGTGGTGGCCCAGGGATGAGGTGCCAGATCCTCAGCTAGTGTGAATTCATGTGGTATTTTAATCAATGGAACTGCATTTCACATCCCTGAAGATCTTGTGCTTATTTTTACGTTGCAGAGTTTGGGTTTTCCTCCCTGTAAGCAAATATAGAACCATAAACTGGAAAGTCTGGGGGTTATGTTACTGCATATGACATAACTATGCTACATGCATTTAGCTTTACAGAGAGTAAAATCTTTGTATCCCAGTCACAGGAGCACATGTAATCTGAAAATGACAAATAGCATCTTGGTCTGCTGTGATACTACACCTGCCTCTGTCTGACAGTATGCTGGGCTTGTGTGTTCTAGGTGGGGTTCCCTACAAAAACATTCTTGTGGAAATCTCTATTTATTACATGAGTGAAGCAAGAAGGATTTTGATTTTTTGGTACTTAATTACTGACATTGATCTTTTTCCAATTGTTCTAATTTTTAAGAAGTTAAAGTTAATTTCTTTACTTTTATATTAGGTTTGAATCTTAAAACACTACAGTTCATGGCCATGAAATGTAATCTAAATATCAATTGTAACTCAATCTGAATTATGCTAGCAAATATCTAGAGGTCATTGTAGTATATTCCACTAGCAGTTAAAGTTAACTTCTGTCAAAGCTGACTACATTTCTCAAATTTTATCCAATAAAGTCCTTGGGTTTTTTTCCCTCTTTTATTTGAACGGCAACCACAGACTACTTTGCTTTGTAGATGCACTCAGAATTTACTGCAGCAGCAAGTTGGAGAAAAAAAATGTTTGTGAACAAGAATTGGAAATTGCAGGCATTTTTATTGTAAATAGTTTGACTGAAAAGATGGTTAAAATCAAGTAGAATGAATAACAAATATAATTTGATGGACAATAAAATATTTACCATCACATGCTGCAGCTGTCTTTAAGGGACATAAAATGTAATTCATTCATACTGTAATCATGCTGCAGAAGTTTGCAATCTGCACCTTATGGATCACAATTACCTTTAATAGTTTTTTGTAATAATTGTAGCCGAGTATATCTCCAATAAAGTTATGGTCTGTTCACCTTGTACTGTCTTTTTGCCTTTGTTTTTAGTTCTTCTTAATCTTTCCATAAATCATCTAGAGTTTACAAAAAATTACTTTTCAGTCTCAGTCTAAATAAAAAAAAAAAATTGTGAAAACATTATTTCTTGACCTCGTTTAAAGACAAGTCTGCTTGTCTCCTTCCTCTGATGAATGAACTGTCTTCATAGCTATGTGAAGACTTAAGGGACACTCAGGTTAAAAATGAATGGTGTACATGCTACAATTGATCTCTGTGTTGACCATTATACCGGCAAAATTTCTGTTGGAGCTGAGAGGCCTCAGAGCACAAGGGTTCAGTAACACAGTTTTGCACACACAGTTTGGCACGTGTTTTAAGAATAGCATGTTAGCTAGCTGTCTTAACATTAATAACATTGATTTTTATTATTTTTTCCATTTGTTGTCCATTACTATTTCACTTATCCTGAGTATTGAAAGCATGTTCATAGAGTGTTCTGACTGGCAAACCAGTGTCATATCTGTTTTAACCTGCCGGTGGAAGATTGGAGTCTTCCTTTTTGTTGCTTCCCAAGGCAGCAGTCAGTTTCCTGGCAGCTGCAGTGGGCAACTTCTCCTGCACATCTTGTCTGAAGTTATAGGGAAAAGCCCACAAAAGTGCCAATAGGCATAGTGGTACTTTTTTCTGGGACTTGGAGGAGGGCCAGATCACCTACGGTTTCCAATGGTGCCTTTTTTTCCTTGTCTCAGCTGTAGTGGAGCAAGCAATCCTCACCTGAGAACCTCGTGGCTCTTCTGTGGCTTTCCAGCTTGTTCCACGCTGACACTGATGGCACTGATAGTTAAGGTGCTTAAAGCACCAGTGTGTAGGCTAGTAAGCCCTAGTAAAGGGTGACAATGCAGCCCCCACGCCCCAAGATCTAGCAAGTGGTTCAGATTGGAAAAGTTTATCTACCCAAATTTTCTACAGGAAAATAGGCCTGGGAGGAAAACAAACAAATGAACAAAACTCCACAACTCAGCCCATACCCCAAAA